AAATAAAAATTTAAAAAATATTTATTAAAATGCTACAGCAATGCTCAGCATTTGGCTTCCTGCCTGTTCTTCACCATACAGATCTGTCTCCAAAGTGTACATGCCAGAAATACCTGAACACTTGAACTATTGTTTTGTTTTCTATTTTTTTGTATTTTTAGGGGAGTGTTCAGGGTCTCACTGCTAGATCCCACTCTAGTAATCCTCCTGTTTACAGCCTCCGAAGAGCTGAGATTACAGACACATGCCATCACGCCCAGTCTCAATTGCTGTCTCACCACTCCCCAGGGACGGGGCCAGCATAGCAGGCCCAGGGATTGAACTCCCATCCTCTACACCTGCTTGCAGGTGCTTTAATCCACTGAGCTATTTGGCCGGCCCTTGTTGTTTTATATTTTATGGAAAGTAATGTTTATTTTACTTATTTATTTTTGTGGTACCAGGGATCAAACTCAGACCTTGCACTTGCCAGGCAAGCACTTATTCCACTGAGCTATCTCCCCTGCCCCTAATGGAAAGTAATATTGCTGACTTTTTTTAAATATAGAAAAAAAAGGGGGGCCGGGGAGATGGCTCAGTGGAATAAGCACTTCCCTGGCAAGCACAAGGGCCTGAGTTCAATCCCTAGTTCTGCCAAAAGAAGGGGGGAAGGGGGGAGAGAGAGAGGAGGGAAAGGAAGGAAGAAAGAAAGAAAAATGGGGAGATAACTCAGCGGCTTTACCACCTTCCTGGCAAGCACAAAGTCCTGAGTTCAATCCCTAGTTCTGCCAAAAGAAGGGGGGAAGGGGGGAGAGAGAGAGGAGGGAAAGGAAGGAAGAAAGAAAGAAAAATGGGGAGATAACTCAGCGGCTTTACCACCTTCCTGGCAAGCACAAAGTCCTGAATTTGATCCCTGGTACCAAAAAATAAAAAATAAAATGAAGTATAGGAAAAAATGTAATTAATAATTCTGTGTCTTCTAATAGAAATAGAAATTAGGAAAGTAGATTATTTGAAGATTTTTTTTGAGCGGCAGAACGAGGATTGAACTCAGGCCCTTGTGCTTGCCAGGTAAGCGCTTACTCTACTGAGCTGTCTCCCCAGCAGGAAATTAGATTATTGTCAGAGGTTTTTTTTAAAGAAGTAGGTATATAAAAATACAGTTTTAGAACAGCTTATTATTGACTATATGAAAAAAGTCATTTAGCTATTTTCTGATTTACTGGAGGGTCTCCTGATTGCATACCCAGACAGCTGAAACAGGGCTGAGTGTACTGTGGATTAGAATAAAACTCGCCAGAATCAGCCTCTGCTAGGAGCACAGGGACTGCACTTGCCTCCATGCTGGAGTGATTAGCCTTTGGGTGCCAGGAGTTTCATTGTGATATCCAGAAACTTCACTGCTTTTTGCACGCATTTGCATTTGTGCAGTTTCATTTATGTTACATTAGTATTAGTATAAGTAAGGCCACTTGAATTCTTGCACTTAACAGTTTGCTATATTTTATTGTGTGTTTCTGTGTAGGTTTCTAAATCTTCCTCCTTCAATCCGCTGAGCTATTTGGCCAGCCCTCTAAATCTTCCTTCTAAATGAGAATTTTACACACATTAGAAATTTATACTTGGGAATCTGAGGCAGGAAAAGTGTTACAATTTTGAGACCAGCCTGGGCTACAAAGTAAGGCCAGCCTGAACTGCATAGTAAGACCCTCTCAAAAAGAATAGAGAGAGAAAAAAAAAAATAGTCTTTATTATTCATTTTAATTATTTAATTTTAAATTCATAATGGCACCCTAATGAGACGTTTGGGTCTAACCTTAGGTATTATGGAGATTCTTTTAATGGAAATGGAAACATCCTCGCCCTGTCCATGAGTGTACAGATCAAAGTCAGCCAGTGGCCAAGGAGCAGAGTGAGCAGAAGGCCTGTGCACAGTGGCCTCAGGTTCCAGCGCCACTGCCTGTGTGAGGAAGTCCTTCCTGGAAGGCCTTTCCTGAGTCCTGGTTTCTGCATACAGTTGTCACTGTCACTTGTGCTGCTGTGTGTACAGTGAGCTCAGCCCTCTCTGTCACAGGACCCAGTAGCCCTGACAGATAATTTGGCATAATATTAGCATCCTTGAGGATCTAGAGTTCCCCTGTGTTTGTTTTGTTTTGTTTTGTTTTTGTTTTTTATGAACAATATATTTTTTGGAGGAAAGAAAGCTTCTGTGTAAGAGAGGGACGGGGGGGGCGGCAAGTGAGTGGTCCCCCTCCCTGTGTTTTTTGACTCCTACGGAGAACTGGTTACCAACAGAAACCCAACAAAAGCAGGGTCGTCACTGTCTGCCTCTCATGTGCCTGGACAAGAGCCATCCATTCCTCAGTCTTTGGTCCTTGCAAGGACATCCGTCCTGTATGGAGCAAAGCCAGGTCATCCCAGCTGGAGGTCCCCGGGCAGCCTGGCGTCCCCTGGGCCCAAAAGCACACGGTCCAGGTGCAGCTCAGGGCCCAGCCAGGCACAGCAGGCTTGAGGGTTCTGCTCACTGAGGGCAAAGGCCTGAATAGCAGGTTGCTAAAGATGAGTATCATTTTACCAGTCTGTCATTTGAGAAAAAAATGGAGTATATCAAGTATTACCTTACTTTGTTTAGTACATGTGCTTTATCAAGAACCCAATTTACTAGTCATTTTTTAATTGTCACATTACAGTAACATAATCAAGGTAGAGATCTGTGGATTTCCCTGTAACATAACAAAAGCAGCAGCACAAACAGGCAGAACAGACTGTTCTGTCATTCATTCCACAGGGACAGGGACTCCGGTCTTTCCTAGGGAGGATAAGTGTACGCACTGTTCACTCGCACAGCGAGGACCCTCACATTTTTGTCTGTCCCACTGTAGTCAAGGCTACTACCAGGTTAAATTTGCCTGTGAACCATCACCCTCCAGGGTCCATCTCCATTTCACAGGGCACAGGGTGTAATTAAATGGAACATGATGAGGGCCATCATTCCTGTCTGCTGTAGGTCTGACAGGGAGCACTTCAGCCCTGAAATCCCTGCAACAGGCAGGGTACAAAACAGTTTATGTGAAAAGTGAAGTCTTGCAAGGTTTTTTTGGTTGTCATCTGGAATGAGACTTGGGAAACTTCCCACCAGTAAAAGGGGCTCGCTGTGCCTCTTCACACCAGACACCTGCTTCCCTTGCAAGAATCTGGCATCAGTGAGTATATTGATAGGGGATGTGTATGCAGCGAGCCCTCATGGAGATGCTGGGCACCGAATCTTCAGTGGGCTCCCTGAGTGCAGCACTCTATGCATGTCCTCACAGCTTGATGCCCTGAATTGTGTTCTGTGTGCCTGCCGTGAGAATCACCCAGGGAATCATATGCGTGGCTTCCTTTAGACACCAGACTGTGTGTCCCTTTGTTTGCCTGTTTTCAGGTCTTGTAAGCATGGCCACAGGAAAACTATCTGCTGAATCCTGTGACTCTTCCTAACAAATCATTGAACCTTGGGGTGCTTTTGGACCTCAACACCAACGTCCTTCCAGAATTGCCTGTCATATTCTGGGTAGAGAAAGTGGGAAGTGAAGTAGTACCCACAGGATGAGAGACAACCTGCAAGGTGGTCCCAGTACCTAAAGCAGTGCCTTCCCACACCCTGGCACAGCTGTATTGGACTGATCTCATCTAATGAACGCCTTTCATCCTGCAGTACCTTTGAAGTGCCCTCCTCCCTCTTCCCACCTGCAGAATGTGTATGTGTCATCTTCCAAACATTGGAATCTCTCCAGTTCATACATATGACTCATTCCATTTCTGCTGATCATATGCTCTTAACATCTCAGCACAGCCCTTCCATACCCACTTGTCTCCAAGCGGTTTCCCTCTGTAAAGTCATTTCTTAACCAGATCTCTGGTTCTAATCTGTCTCCAGAAGGGTTTACCCTTCATGTGTATTAATTACATGAAGCACACTAAAGCCAGGTGGGGGTGTATAGCCATAGTCCCAGAGGCTGAGTGAGGCAGGAAGATTGCTTAGGCCAAGAGTTCAAGGCCACGCTGAACAAGATAAGCCCTGTCTCAAATGAAAAAAAAGTAACCTGAAGACAAACTATCTGCTAAGTATAGGCAGCTACTTGATGTGCAAAAGCAGATAGCTTAAATTAAAAAGATGTATTAACAGTAGTAAAAAGAGGGCTAAGGATATAGTAAGTGTACAATCCTTGCTTAGCAGCTACAAGGTCCCCATTTCAAAAAGAAAATTGGAATAGCTACACTAAAAAGCATTTTAGAGCAAATAATAAAAGGGAAAGTGACCCATGGGACAATCAAAACAATCCTAATAGGTATGCACCTAATAAAAGTTTTAAATATCAGGAAGCTAAAACTGATAGCATTGCAAGGAGAAATAGAAATTCTTAAATGAGCTGTCAGAAACAGGAGGATGGGTGCATCTGGAAGTAGACCTCCAGGGAGAACCCCTTAGAAGTCCAGGGGGTCACCAGAAGCAGGGATTGCGACATAAATAGCTTTCGCCAACAAGCCATGTGCACCATCACCCCCAGAACCTGTGAGATTCCTGTGTTCCTTGCTTCTCTGAGATGATTAACCCAAGCGTCTTGGTGAGGGGAGATGATCCCCATCCTCCAGGTGAGGCCTTGTAGACACAGGACAGGAGGAAGGCATGACATGACAGGCACAAGCTGAGAAGCATGGGTGCTGCCTAAGAATTGGAAAGGAAGTGGGCCCTAGTGAGCTTCCAGGCTGAGCCCTGCAGCGCCTTCCAGATTTTGGATTCCACAGCTGTAAGATAATAAGGTCGTGTCTTTTTTAAGGCCCAAACTTGGCTTATGTGCACAAGGTCTCTCCCTCTGCAATCTGCCACTTCTCCTTATAGGAAGAGTTGTTTATCTCCCAAAGAAGAAAAGAAATTCTCTTCCTTGGATTCATAGAAGAACATGACCTCAAAGTCTTGTGGGTACAGGACCAGGCCCTGACACCTGCAGGCAAGCTGGGGCTGAGCAGTGCATGCCATCCACAGCTATCTGCAGTTGTGCTCTGCCTGTCACCCTGCTGTAACAGCTGCCATAGCTCCCTCTGGAGACTGTCTCAACAGAAACAGCTGACCTCTGCCCCCAGCCTCGTTCACCAGCCCAGCTGTACCCTGACCACACCATTTGTATCTGCAACAGTCAATTTGTACTTGTGACAGCAGCTGAAAAGGGAGTGCTGAGAGCCCAGCGTAGTCAGCAGTTTTGCCATATGATTTATACACCTAGCCTGGGTGTCCAGGATCTGTGAGGCATTGGAGGAAATGAGGAAGACTTGGTTCCAGCCCTCCAAAAGGTTACGGGGCAGTCCAGCATCCAGCACAGAAGGATCAGATTACCTCAGGAGGTGTCTGCAGGTTGTCTCAAGTGTTCTAGCCATGCCCTGCTTTTAAGACACCACCTGTGCTCAGTAGGTTTATAGCATGGTGTGTTCTCCCTAAGTCTTGGGGCCACACTTACTGATACTTGCCTCGTCAAGCACATCACGAAGTGTGTCCACTGGCATATTCAGCGTAACAACTCTACATCTGCTGCCTCCGGAGGTCCAAGTACCACCATGAGAACATGAAGATGAACAGGAGTAGCAGGCACACCCAGCACAAGACAGTTCCTAGACAGTGGGGGGCAGCACAGTGCAGATGCTGTGAAACTGATGGAGTCTCAGCTCCACACAAGTGTGTCAGATTCTCTCAGCACTCCTCAGATATGAGAACAGGAGAACCTAGGGCAGAGTCAAACAGCCCTGGACCTGCTGCCAGCTGATGGGCCATCTCACCGACCTTGGATGTGTTTCATTCATTCAACTTTGTAAGTCGCCCTGAATAGGGCTACACAAAGTGGGGTTCACAGACCAACATACAAGTGAAAAAGTGTACCCCAGCTTCATTGGAAGCACATTAATTGAGCCAGGCCACACTGTCTTCATATTGAGACCTTGGCTGACACTGAGATGAGCACCTCCCTCCCTCAGGACGTGCCCCATGGTGCCCACAGCTTTCTCACAGGTTCCCCACCATGAGACCATCTCTGGACCTGCCCATGCTGTGGCTTGTGGTCAGGTGGCAGCACTGGCACACCTGACAGTGCTGTGGTAGAGAACGAAATTCCCAGCTCCTCTGGAGAAGCCTGGGCCCGGAAGAGCTGACATCACACCTGACTCAGCAGTTGGGGCCTCTTCATTTAGACAAGAGAGGGGTTTCATTACATAAAAAGAAGGTGCATAGGCTGCCAGGACACTACCCACACCACCAGTGATGAGCACCTCACAGGCACAGGTACTCTCTTAGGCCCACAGTAAAACAGCTCAGTGCCCAATTTCAACAAAAACAGATTACTGCAGCTTGTTAGAAGGGAAGATTTTACAGTGGTGTGAAAGGTCGCCAGGTACACAACTGAGAGGATTTATGTGACATCCAGAGGATTTTAAAACTTTGACTGCCACTGTTACTATCACACTTGTGGATGGTCTTAAGAGTAGGGATTTACCTTCCAATGGCCATCCTCACCTCCAACTGGCCAGAACATAGAATCATGTGTTCAAAAGATAGGAAATGGCTCCAACTAGAAACAATGTGGCTGTCCAGAGGGCCAGACTCAGCAGGACACCAGAGACCTGCAAATCTAAGAGTGAATGCAAGCATATTCTATAAAACTAAAAACCCTTGTAACAAGTTTATTTTAAAGGTACCTGGTAGCAGCAAGAGCCCAAAGCTGGGCTACACTTTTTCACTTGTTGAAGAGCTGGTTGCGAGAACCCAGCTCTTCATCAGGTGGCAAATGAATGAAGCTGGGCTGAGGGAGGCAAGTAGGAAGCAGCAATCCCAGAGAAAGCCATCGGTCGACATGGATAGCCATGGGAAGAAATGTGTATTATAAATGGAAAATTGCAATTTAATGAGCAGCTCACAGTAGTGTCTCATAAAATTGTTTAAAATAGTTTGCATGTGTCTATAGGTATACAAACGTATACAGTAGACGTCAGTGTGTTGAAAAAGGAATGGCAGGAATATGCCAAGCTGTTAAAGATTATTTCTTGGAGAGAGATAAATTCTTCCCATGACACAGAAAGAAGTGGAGGTTGAGGTGGGCAAGAAATAGTCCAGGAGGGAGGGAAAGAAAAATGACAGTAACCACCCTGGCAAGGTCTGAATGCTGCCACCAAACTGGTGTTGAGACTTGGTTGCCATACCACCCACACTGGGGAACAGCCTGGGGATGGACTTGGTCCACTGAGAATGGGTCAGTTAAAGAGCTATGTGGCGTCCAGCCTCCCCCACCCACCCACACACACACACCCCTTCCCTGCTTCCCAAAGAGTCACAGTGTCCCTGGACTTGAACTTCCAGCTTAAGAACTGCAACCCAGGCAAACCTCTTTATAAAAATTACCCAGCCTAGGATATTTTGTTATAGCAAAAAAGGAGCATTCTACAAATTTAAATCAAAATGATTTCATCTCTCGGGGCCAGGGTGATGGCTCAGTAGAATAAGCGCTTGCCTGAGTTCAATCCCCAGTTCTGCCAAAAAAGAAAAATAATAATTTCATCAATGAAAACCAAAGGGTTGCTTACTATTATTACCTTCCTGATCTCCCTGGGGAAGTCTTCATTCACTAGTTGCCTCCCAGTCTTGAATGACTACAATTTCCTGTGCCACCACCCAACCCCTGCCAGCTTAACTATTGAGATTTTTAAAAACCACTGTCTGCCAGGTGTGGTCTCAGGTTTTCCTTGGCTTTCCTGTGACTAGTCACTAACAGAAACCTAAAATACCCACCTCCATCCTTATGGAGAATGTGCAAATAGTTTCTAACCTACTCACTCTCAGCAAACTACAGGACATGAGCCCAGAGTCTCTCGAGCTCAGGAGTAGCTGCGAAGCTGGCCGCAGCTCCTACAAGGCTGCATATTTCCGCCCTTTCTTTGTCTTGTTTCAGATGCCCATGTTCAGCGAGTATCTGAAACAGACAAGTATTTCTCAGTAACAGCAATAGCTGTCATTATAGGGCACCAGCCCATTCGCTCATTGGACCTACAGCCACCCTAAAGGGTAGACCCTGTCCCTCTTTGCATTTCACAGGTGACATTTTCCAGAGAAACAGGAGCTTGGCCCAGCCTCAGGGCTAGCAAATGGTAGAAGGCCAGAGAGCCCCGCTGGTGCCTATTCCAATGTCACAGAGGTTCAGCTGGGTGCTGAGCTGCTGCAAACATTTAACTCATGAGAATGAGGCCACCTGTTATTGCTGGGCAGAGGTGGAAGGGGACATGTGAGCTGTCTGCAGCCAGGGAAGCCTCAGAGACATCATCTCCATCCGAGTCTGTCTGGTGCTACTGCCAGGCACATACAGGGCCAAACACTCAGGGTGGAGTCACCTTGCCACACTGCCACAAGAGTCTGTCTGCAGATCTAGTTCCCTCGGCTCATAGAAAGGATGCATAGGTAGTAAAAGATGGGTCCCCTCGCAGCCAGTGCTTCATCAACACCACAACTGATATACAGTTTTCCATTCCAGTCTATAATCAAATACAAGAGCATAAAATAATTCTTCCTACTCTCTACCATGAGGTTTAGCTTACAATTTTCATTACATGATCGCTACTCTTCACTACACTGATAATTTTTCAGAATCTGTTTTAGGAAACCACATACTATACACCACATATGGTTTCAGGTGCAGCTGGATCCAGGAGTCCAGAAGTTACCAGAATCTGGAGTTTCTCTGTGCTGTTCCTGAGGTGGCCTCCCCTTCAGGTGGGTGTGCCATTTTGCAGCTTTGCATCCAAAGGCAGAACTGTGCTTCCTGTCCTGCCACCCGCACTCAGGTCTCAAGACTTGTGCTGCCCAGTTGCCTAGCTTGAGGCAGATGCTCATCCTGAGAGGGTGGCGGTGCTGTGGGAAGCATATGCTGCACCTCTGTTCTAGAGCTGGGAGAGCAGGAGTGAACTGATCAAAAGCCTGGACAGGGAGCTGCGCTGAGCGCTGGACAAGCAAGAACAAGGTGGTGAAGGCCGTGTTCTTGGCGGGTGCAGAGACGGGGAGATCTGTCTGCTAACAGCCCTCGTGCACATGTGTCACCCAGAGTGAGGGTACTACAGAGATACCTCCTGTCCTTGCTGTGATCCCAGAGGCAGCTGCACTGTGGGATCCCATGGGAGACAGGGCCCTTTCCTCTCGTCCCTGCCAGGAGGGTAATTTGCCCCCCTGGTCTGGCACAACACTCCAACCTGCTATGTACCACATGAGTCCACCTCGTCCATTCACACCAAGCATTGTGGGCACAGCCACCAGCCACATAGCTCAGTGCCACTATGGGTGTCCAGTCTGCCAAGCAGTGCCCACCTGTACTTCCTGCACCTGCTGTGCTACCTGCCTCCCAAGAGGTGGAGCCAGGGCCTTTAACATGTTCAGAGTAGAACAAAAGTTCTTTTTTTTATTTACAACAAAAGTTCTGTATGTGAGTTTGAAACACTTTTATAATCATGAGTTCCAAACCGAACAACTAACTCTAACATAGCCATCTCTCATCACCAAGAGGCTCAAGTGAAAAACCTCATGCCTCTACTGGCTCCCACCTTTGGTGCCTGAAGTGAGTCCTTGATAGCGCATGCTCTCACTGCCACAACAGTGTGTCACCTTGGGTTCCAAGTGTGGCTTCTGCAGGGTGCGATGAGTCCAGGGCCTCAGACAGAACTCTGAACAGCAACCAGGTTGTGGTCCTGAGTTGTCTGCCAAGGGTGAGGACCACACCTGAAGGCTCTTCCCCAGTGTCCTGTGTGTGGTCCCACTGCCGGCCTGCATCCAGGTAATCCAAGGATTGTCTCAGGTTGGTGTCTTTTTTGGTCCTTCATGAGTCCATGTTTGCAGCCAATAATGACCACACTCCTCCCCATGAGGAACTGGTGCATGGCCATGACACATTTCTGTTCTTATTTCATCCCCTCTTCTCCCCATCCCTCCCCTCCATTTCTTGGTTCTCCGTTGTCTCTTTGTAGAATCTGCAGCTTTCCCAGAATTATTTCCCAGCACTTCTGGGTTGCAGCCCAGTTTCCCCTGTGCTGGACAAACACTTGGCTCTGACCCCATCCCAGCCCTGGAGGAAGGGCTTAGAACAACGGCGTCTTCAGTGCTGTGGTACAGGGCGAATGTGAAGGACTTTGCTCACCCTTTTACTGCAGGAAACCTGCTGCAAGGGATGAGGGACTGAGCAAGAATCCAGAGCTTCACAGTGGGGGCTGGGCTTCTCTCCCTCCCTCTCTCTCTCCTTCCCCCTCCCTTTCCCTTTCCTTTTTCTTTTTGAGACAGCATCTTGCTATGTAGTCGTACTGACCTTGAACTCAGTAGCCCAGTCTAGCCTCAAATTCACTGCGCTCCTCTTTCTCCAGCCTCCTGCGTGCTGGGCTTACAGGTGTGTGCCACCACGCCTGGCTCACTTCTGTTCTTTCTGTACTATCAAGGCGCATCCAAAGTGGTCATTTGACTTACGGAATGATTGGGAAGTACAAAGAGAAGAGATTCTGACATGGACTGTGATTAATATTGACTGCAAATGCCCTTTGCCAGCCAGGCATCTCCCGTACTTACTCACCTGGGAGGTGTGTGCTAGAGTTGGTCGCGGTCGTCCTCAGGGCTTCATGTGATGAGCGCTTGGCCTCCGGCTGTGGCCTTTGGGCGGCAGCATAGCCATGAGAGGTGAGGCCAGGGGAGGGAACTGGGCCCTGCACGGCCCTGACAGGATACTGGGAGCAGCCCTTCCTCTCTTTCTCCCCTTTTATCCTGGCCCCCATAACATAGGCACTTTGCTCCCCAGTCTTAATGGTGCCTTCATCATGGTCCCTAGCCACAGAGCCTGGCACCCATGGCCGGGAGCCTCTGGACTGTGAGCGAAATGTCCTCCTCACTCGGCTGACTATCTTGACAGATAGCAGCACCCTTGGCTCAGCTATTCCAGCAGTTTCCCGGGGCCTCCCCGCCCCCAGGGAGAGGCAGAGCCCAGGCTATAGCTGCTGTCACTGTAGCAGGCACAGGTGCACATGCCCTTCAGGGGCAGCAGCGATGGTTACACCCCTGTCTTACTCTGTCGCTTCCACAGTGACCCTGATGGCCATGAGGAAGACAGTCCTCTGACTGCCGCCCCAGTCTCTGGGACACAACTGAGGAGATGAGCACTATGACCAGGTGGCAGCCTTGGGTTCCCCCAGTCACCTGCTGCAGGGACAGCTGCAGTCTTGAGTGCCTACGTCTGGCTTGGAGACTCTTGAGACTATGAGGGGCAGGAAGCAGGACCCAAAGGACAGGGAGGGTGTGGCTGCCCAGTCTAGAAGGATGAGCAAGGTTTGCCGTCATCTGGAGAAGCTCAGGCTGATGAACGCTGTCTGGAATCTCCCGCCGCCTCTCGCCCTCACCGCAGCTTGGTGGCTGAGGTCCACTTGCAGCTGCAAACCACCTGCGCCAGCTGTGTGACTCACTCATGCCCCTTTAAAGCCACACCAGGTCAGGGCAGCGGCCACTGGAGAAGCCATGGCTCTTGGGCTCTGCTGTTCCCGCTGGGCATTGCTCTGCTGGCTGGCGGCATCTGTGGCACAAGGTAAGGACTTTGTTTTTACTCGCATGTGGGTCTGCTAATTAACAAGGCACAGGGAAGGCAGGAATGTGCTTACACATTCCATCCTGGGAAGCCTTTCCACCCACCTCCAGCCTTTGGGGTTAAGGCAGAGGGGCTGGGCTCTGTGGTCTGAAGCCCTGGGTCCTAGTCTCAAATGCTCAACTCTGTGACTTTGCCTAGTGAAGTGACAATGTCTGAGTACTCATTTATTTGGGGTCATCAGGACCACATATGTGATTGTGGGAAGCTCTCCCTCCCCCTGGGAATGCTACACAGTTTCGAGGCTGATGCCCTCCTTCTTGAAGCCACCCCTTTACATCCCAGCTGCATGGCCAGCTCTTTGTATGCAGCAACTGTTTGCTCTCTGTTTGTTCTTGGGCTTTGATCACAGAAGTGAGCTAGCATTTGGTTCTACCCAAGGAGCATGGAGCACAGGAGCATAGGACAGGAGACTAATTTCTGCACAGTTCCTGTTCTCTCTCCCTGCCCAATGGTCAAATTTCTCAGTGGTCTGAGCTATGGAAATTGCAAAGTCCTGCGGAAAGTAAAGAAAAGAATGAGCAAAAACAGAGAAAGGGGAGAGAAAGGGAAGGCGATCCTGGAGGCCTGAGGCTAATATTTCCCGACATTCCACTTGGTCCCAAACTCCATGCTGTCAGGAGTTGAGATCCTGTCAGTGGCCAGAAGGTCCCTAACTCCCTGTTCTCATCCACAAAGCACAGGACAAGCTGCAGAGGGGCTATCAGAGCTGGCACACAGAGCCTCCCACCAACCCCTGGACAAACACTAGCCTCCAGGGGACGAGGGGAGACAACACCTGCCCAGGCCCCAAGAGGAGTTCCATTCATCACCTGCTAAAAGGTGACATCTAGGCACAGTGGGTTTTTGTGTTTAATTTATGTATTTGGTACAGGGTCTCACTACGCAGCTCAGACTCATAGTCATCTTCCTGTTTTCAGCCTCCCCAGTCCTGGGATTACAGGCGTGCACCACTGTGCCTCCGAACTTGCACTTGTAGCCTGCTCAGTGCACTGAGGGGCAGGGCTGGTGCAGCGTTTGGCACCGGGGATGGAACTTGGTCCCTGGCTTGCCTAAGCAGGTGCTTAGTCCCATGAGCTATCTCTGTGGCCCTTAAGCACAGTGTTTTAAAAAGAACTAGCCACCTCCTTCTCCTTGACATGTCATGGGACCAAAGCGTTCTTGCAGAGCCAGAGCCATTCCCTGGGAGGCCTGGAAAATACATAGCTGAACAGTTCCTACTCATATGCAAGATTTCTCATGTGAGAGAGTTCTTTTGTTTCTATTTAACTGGAGCACGCAGTCTGGTATGACTGTGGCAGTCGGTCCTGCAGGTAAATCTCTCCTTAGCCCCAGCTGGCTAAGCCACCGCCCACCTGTCTGTGACCTGGATCTGTGTCCCTGTCTGTGTCCTAGGTCCCCAGACAGGGATGCACAGCCTTAGACTTCTCCATTCTTGTACCTTCCTCTTGCCTTCTCCTCTATGTGTTGTCTTTCTGTTTCAAGTGGAAACCTTTGAGCTGTCACAGTCTTTCTTGAGACACATTATTTTGTAAGGCAAAACTCAACCATGTCAATTTTATTTACACGTGTCAGCAATGTCTAAGCTTAAGTTTACAATATATGTACATTGACTTATTCCAAATTTAATTGAATAAAACATTTAAACTACAAAAAGAAAGTATTTTTAGGTGGCACTCTTTCTCTCTGATGCCTTTGAACTCACACAGAAATTCTTGCCTCCCCTGGGTCCACAGCACGCCATTCTACTCTGTGGTCTCCAGATCACAGCTCTGTGTCTGTCCTTTCTGCATCTGACGCAGCCCCTGATGGGGAAGCTGCTCGTGCCCACTGCCACTTGGCTTCAGCATGGAGTAGGAAGAGGCTGTAGCTATTCTCCGAGACTGCAAATGTTTGATCTTCAAAGTAGAGCTCTGACTACAATCACTGGTCAGGTGGAGAGTCCACAAAGGGAACTGAGCTGTAGTCACTGAAAAGGCGGTCCCCGGGCTGCGACTTCTCTTTGGTTCAACTCTGAAAACATACGAATATTTCTCTAAGACTTTTTGTGTCAGGGACTTGACTTGAAAGTCAAAAACAAGCTTGCCAAACAAACAAAAAGAACAGAGCTTTCTTCTCTAAAAGTTGCTATAGTTCACTACAAACTGGTTATTATCTACCCAAATAACCACACAGTAGAGGTAATTATAAAAAAGTTCACATCCTTACCCTTTTAAAAAAGTGCTAGTTGTTGATAAACTATGACTTTCATGTCTAGACTATAATAAACCCATTTAAAATTGATATCCAAATTTCAAGCTATACTTCGGGCTTGTATTATATTCTGATTTTAAATAGTTGTTCCTGTAAATGTTCTGAGACTGAAATTAAGTATTTTTTATTTAATACTTTTTATGAAACATTTTTGAGTACCACAAAAATACACAAACAGGAATGGTCAATGTCTGCTTGCCTTTCACTGAGTTCATCAAACTTCTACTGAGCACTCCTGTGCTATTCCCAGCTCTGAGGATGATGGCAGTGACCAGCAGCATCAAGAGCCCCTGGTCTCCTTGGAAACCCTGCTCTTACGGCCTCTAGACCCTTTAGCCTCACTCTAATGCATAATCATGTATTCAATGTACCGAGAGTGGTCCAAGGATTGGGCTTCATGCTGGCAGAAACTTTCCTTCATGTTCATGGCTAATGAAAGCCAGCTAACCCTTCCGATATGCACACTGCTCATCAGACAATGTTCTCAACACTTGACCCATCTTATTTCAGGAGGAGACGGGTAGCATTGCTTTCTCCATTGGACAAAGGAGGAAAACTCGAGATTAGGAAGGGGCCTGTGGTCAGTTATTAAACATTGAGCCGAGCAAGGGCCACTCTGCAGCCTGTGCTGATGAATACTGGGCTGCTTGACCCCTCAGCATGTCTTTCATCTGTGCTGCAATATTGACCCATTTTGGTTTCCTGCTTGCAGAATTCCCATCTGACCCTCTGTGCATTTGGTAGCTTGTTGGTGTAGAATATGGATACCATCACACTGTCCCTGAGAGGGGAACATGGAACTTTAGCAATTGTAGACACAGGCTGCAATCAATCAGCTCAGTTCTGAGTTGAGAAGACATCAGTATGCAAGAAGGTCCCAAGGGCAGTTCAGTGGGACAGGAACACACCCACTGTATGACAGTCATGGTGCTGATCTGTGCCATGGGAGCAACCACAAGAGGCCTCCCCAGCCTCCCAAAAGGGAGAGCTCCCTGAGAGACTGAACCTAGAGTCCAGACAGAAGAGCCGGAGGACAGGGCAAAAGAGGGAGCTCTGGGCATCTGAACCAATTTTATAGAATCCCAGGGCCAGAGATAACTTTTGCCAAAGTGGCTGCTGCGGAGTGGAGCAGTTAGGCAGTTGGACAGCTGCATACTATTGACTAGTCTCTAAAGGCAGAGGAGGGAAGAGAAGTTCCTGGCAAATCACCTCCATTTTCCGTCAGAAAGGAGCTACTCAGCAGCCTGCTTACATGCACAGGATGCTTCAAATGAATCTTCAAAGGAAAGTGTTGGAGGAGATTTGAGGAGATAGTAAAGATTACGAAGATGGAGAACAGAGTGACACAAGAGGAAACAAAAGGACTGCTGCACAGAATTCAGTCAGCTGGAAGTCGTGACTGTATATGGTAGCAACTCACACAGATGTGTGGCCCTAACTGTGCAAGTTGTGACAAGTTCCTAAATCCATCCCCATGGCAGCCGCATTTTAGAGAGTTTATGCTACCAAGCAGTAACCACCTGACAGAATCACCAGGCGTTTGGGTCTCCTGAATATGGTTTCATGTGGTCCTGCCCCCCGTCCTGGGTGCAGGAATGAGGCCAGCGCGTGCCTCCATCCTGAGCCCCCAGGGAACTGCACGGCAAACTCTAGCACCCAAGTGCTCTGGGGTTGGGAGGTGACCCCAGGGCCCAGAAAATACGATGAGCCCAAGAAGCAAAGGGGTTCATTTACTTTTAGCAGCAATTTACTGAGTGGCTAAAAGAGGCCTAGGTAAACCCCGAGAGCAAAACATGAGGGTGCAGCCTAATAGAAGAAGCTGTCTTCTCCTTTAGTGGCTGAATTCTGGGTAGTTTTTATGTTGCAAAGGTTTTCAAATTTATCCAAAAGAATGAGTAATGTGAGACTGAATCACCTTCTATGGTTGAGACACAGAGAAAAAGAGAGAGAGAGAGAGAGAGAGAGAGAGAGAGAGAGAGAGAGAGAGAGAGAGAGAGAGAGATCCACTTAACCAACCACCCAGATCACATGTGGAGCATTTCTAAAGAGCTCTGTGGTTACTCCTTCCACTAAGTGATACCCACCCTAACTCAGAGCTGGGCAGTATTTTGCCTGGTTTGCTCTAACCTGAACACCATGTAAGGGGACTCTCACAGTCTGTACCCTTTCCTGTCTAACTTCTGCTCAACATAACTCTGTGGGGTCCATCGCCGTCGCTGTGGGTGTTCATGCTCGGTTCTTGTCACCGCTGCCACAGCTTCATGCACAGGCCGAGACTGCCTACCCATTCCACTGGGCACCCAGCCTCAAATCACTGTGCCTTGGGCTGTCGGTCTTTCTACTCACAAACACCTCCACTTTTCTGAGTCCCCTCTCCAAAGTGGAGCACTGGGTCACAAGGTGGCTGTGTTTCTTGTCACTGGCCCTCGGCAGCTCTCTCAACCCCGCTTTCTGTGTCTCTGCTTCTCCTCCCTTGCCTGTCTGTTGTTGCTTCCAGGCTGCCTGCTGACTGTGTTTTCCTCCCCGCAGGAGCAGAAGGGCTGGCTGTGCCTCCGGGAGGCGGCCCACAGCACAACGCTCCCCCTACAGACTGCCAGATCTTCACACTCACCCCGCCGCCTGCCACCAGGAGCCCGGTGACCCGACCCAGGCCCGTCACGAGGACCCCCAGACAGCCCCTGCTCATCTTCCCGCAGTGGCCCAGGGTCCCCCCCAGATTCCCAGGCAAACCTTTCCTGCCTCCCTCCTGCAACCGTCGCTTCCCGTGGCAGGCGTGGTTCTGGCCACGCTGCTGCCTGCCTCGCGGAAGATGTTTCCTGGGGACAGAACTCCGTGAGGGAAGCTCCTCGGAGGAGACTAGGGAGGGGAGAGGCCTGCGCTTGAGGAGCAGGAGGAGACGTGACCTCTGACGAGGCTTGGGAAGATTCCATGTCCTCCTCGCCAGTAGAGCTGTGAGGCCACAACTTGAAGCAATGCAGTGGCCTCAACTAGAAATCGTTCTCCCCATCAGCAGCGAAGACAACGGATTATAGCTGATTTCTGTTTGCAATTCAGGGCAGCTACTTTGTCATTCTTATTCCTCGGTGGATTAATGCAAATAAAGTCCAAAAATGGGATGTTCCAATAACTCTATCTACACTGACAGCCTGAAGAGTCAGCCTTCCCTTCTAAATACAGGGAAGAGCATCTGAAGAGAGATCACTATGACTCACTGAGGACACGAATGGCTCTTTTTTATGTTCTGTAGCAAATTTACTGAGCAAGGTGAAGTTACAAAGCGAACTTGAAAAGAAATGATAAGCATTAAAGCAAAAGTGTGTGTGGAATCTGATTACAGATATTTTTATTTTTATACTTTTCATAATTTCATAGTTATAAACTGAATAATCCAACATAATTATTTTTAACTGTAATATCCAAATTGAATATTAATGTTTGAAGCAGATGGTGTGACCAGCCTCATAAATTCTTCATTTCTGAGGTGATATAAATGTGAGCTGATGTGGAAACTTCCCCTAAACTTTCAGCATAAGTCCACACACGAAAGCTTGACTAAAAAGTCGTATGCAGGTATCCTGTGAACTTTAGGACTCTGTGGCCAAAGCCACTCTACCACAGGGAAAGTATATTCTTGGGATGCAGTGTGAGGAACAGTCCCATGAGCTGTGCCCATGGCCTGGTTGTTCACTGCCTGGAAAGTTCTCTTTGTACCTCCCCACCCAAGTGGTCAGTGGCTTTCACTTGGCCATTTCAAGAATGATGTGCAAAGAATGCTGTTACAGCTGCTACAAAGACAATCAGTCAATCAATCAAAAGATACAGGCATGGGAGTAGGAGGTGCCTGGGAAAAGGGAAGGGGGAGAAGATCATGGTGCTGGACTTCCTCGCTCCATTAGGTGATACAGCAAGTGATGCATTTCTTCACTCACTTAGCACTATTCATTATTAGAACTGATATTTGCTTTCAGTTTATAGGTATATGCAAAAACTTCTCTGAGGCTGAGGAGACTGCTCAGCAGCATAAGCACCTGCCTTGCAAACACAAGATTGTGAGTTTGATCCCCAGTACTGAAAAAAAAAAAAAAAAAAAAAAAAAAAAACTTATCTGAAATCATGAAGAAACTGTATTTTGAAATAAACTTTACTTGGTCTTTGATTGCTCAGGATATATCAAAAATAGGCATTGTGTTAGTTACCATTTGCATCCTTACAACAAAATCCTTGAGAGGAACACCTGAAAGAAGAGACTGTGGCTCACATTTCTTTTTTTTTTTTTTTTCACATTTCTTGAGGTTCAGTTCATGGCCCATTGGTTCCACTGCTGTGGCCAAAAGGGAGATGGAGCATCATGGCAGAGGGAGTAGAGGAGGAAAGCTGCTCACCAGGAAGAACAGGTGAAGCACCTTAGAGAAAGGGGCCATCTGAGGTCACCACACCCCCATGACCATTCCCTTCAGCTGTCCCCACCTCCAGGGTGCACCAGCCCCCAACACCACCCTCAGATCGTGATCCACCCACCTGAGGAAGTCATAGCTGCTAGGCCAATCACCTCCCCACAGAGCCCACCAGCCAGCACCCAGCCTCTAGCTCACTTCAAAACCAAGCCATGGCAGCCATCTTCAGGCAAATGTGAGGAAACAGAAAGTTTTGCTTGTGAATCCCCTCCCCTGTCTGTCCCTCCTCCCTATCCTGCCATGTTTGCCCACACCTCTGTCTTCACAGTACCCTGGCTTCCCAGAGCCAACTGGCTTTCACTGGGCATTCTCACCCCAAACATTAGGGCTTTGCAACTTTGGAAACTTTTATTGAGACAGGCTCTTACTATGTAGCCCAGGCTGGCCTTGTACTCACCGTGATTCCTCCTACCTCAGCTTGCCAAGTGTTGGGATTACAGGCATGTATCACCACACCTGGCTCCAAGGACTATTGCAAACAAACTCCCCATAGTTCTGAACTCCAGCCCCATAGGAAGCATTACTGGTGATGAGTAAACCTCAGGAAGAGAGAACTGGTGAACGAATGATTCCACCACTGTGTGCACTGCAAAGCAAGCTGCTCTCTTGGTCACCAGCAAGGTGAGTACTCTGGGCTTCAATGACAGTCGCATGGTGCCTCATCCTGCAGTAGGTACAGCATTGCCTATATGACAAGCATCCACCCTTGCAATTCAAAGTATGCACACTTTTGACTAAAAAAAGTGTTTCACTTTGCTTTTAAAATACAGTGATGCCCTTTAGGCTTTGTAAGTAGGGGGATGGGCTTCAGTTATGAATAGCTCAAAGGGAGTTGTTTCCCAAAGGTGTTCCCTTTACTAGGTGGCTTCTCTGAAACAATGGTGAGAAGTGGCTGGGAGGTGCAGTCACTAAGCTATTTCCATCCTAAGGAAGGATTAAGTGACAGAGTCTAAAGCTCTAATCACACTCCACATACCCAAGGCCACTCAGTAAATAAACCCAAACTAAGAAACATTTTCAAAACTAGCATGTTCCGAAGTCAGATGTCATGAAAGACCAAGGTTAAAGGTGATTACAGTGGCATGACAACTAAGTGTAATATGAGGCCCTTGATCAAACCTGGAGCTGAGAAGGGGGCAGAGATGGCCAGAAAGGATGGTACCAACCAAAAACCTAATTTGATCATTTTAAACAGAACATCCTGCTTTTAGGAAATCGATGTTGAGGCATTTTTCAATGAAAGGAAATTATTCAGGAAAATGTATGCGACAATGACCAACAATACAGTAAAGTGTTTTTACAGTTGATATGACTGAAGAAAGAACATGGGAGCCCTTTGTACTATTGTTGCAACTCTTCTATAATTTGACATGATTTCAAAATGATAACTTAAAATCATTGCTAAAAACAACACAATTAAATCTTAAATGTATCCAGGAAGGTTAGTTAAAACTAAGCCTCATTCCCACACTATCGACCTTTCAATGACTCACATTAGTTTTGAGGGCTGTGGGGCACCGAGGCTGGCTATGACCTGGGACTCAGATGATCACTGATATTTGGGGCAGTAGCTATGATAGTCAGAGCTCAGTGTTACCTTGCAAGGATTGGAGACACCCAGGGCATCAGGGTTGTACACCTTTAGGCATGTCCGGGTGGGTCATAGAGGCATGGTCTCAGGATCTCTACCCAGCCCCTCAGCCCTTTCTCTGTGACACTATTCCCTGCCCCTGCTTCTTAGCCTTGAACTGAGCAGCTCCACCATGATGCTTCTGCCTTGAAGCCAGCTAATCATGGACTGAATCATCTGAAACCATGAGCCAAATTAAGCCTCTTTTCCTTGACATCATGGGTGCAAGCAATGGGAAAGTGAAAAGCCAGCTGTTTTTAATTTGGATAAGGAGAAAAATCTGACTAAAGTGTAGGTCTCAAAGGAGAAACAGAAGCATGAGACAGAATATATTCCTAAACTACCTCAGCAGTCAGTGACATAAATGTCTCCAAGACATTAGGGACATCTGAGCATGACAGAGGCCCAAAGGGCGGTTTCAACTTGAGAAGGGGCCCTTGTCCCTCTAGCACATAGAAGGCAACTGCAACCGCAGTTAGATACTGGGGAGCAGGGGTGCCCCTGTCCCAGTTATCGCAGCAGGGAGAAAGCGTTGCCCAAAGCCCATGAGCTGTACAAGGCATAAGGGACAGACAGGCCAGGGGTCACACCTGCTGAACAAGTCCGCTACTCAGTTGCTTTGGGATACATTTAAACTGTCAACACTGGAGTTTCTCCAATTTCTGGTAAAGATGAAAAATTTGGAAAGAAGCTGCTTATTTTTTATGTATGTTGTTGGCATCATTTGAAATTATGGCTCAACTTCAGAACCGCCTTAATAAGTCCCACAGGATGGGCTTCCTTAAAGTCCCACATTCTGTGGCTGGGTGATGGCCCCTTGTGGTCTCCTCACTTTTCTCCAAGCACAGGGTCCCTCCTATGTGACCTTATGAAAGACCCAGTGAGAATGGATCAGGGCTGTCCTCACAGCTCTACTTCTGCATGATCACCTCCTTCAGTCTCTCTCTCCCAACAGTCATGTTCTGGGCTGGGAGGAGCTGAAGCCTTGACTTGTGGATTTGGAGTACCCAGTTCTGCCCATGCTAAGAAGCATCCTGTTTGCAGATGTCATTACAGACACCCAGAACACCTGCATAAAGCTGGCTCAGTCTCTAATTCAGCTACTTTATATGTAAGGAAAAATAAAGGCAACCATGACTTTCTCAAGTACAGAGAGCATTTGGCTTATTTTTATAGGAAAATGTAAGTAGGTATCTGATCCCTGCAGGAGGCTCCAGCTTGTTCTGAACAGCTGAGTCCACCAGACAAGGATATGGTGTATAAAGGAACAGACCCAACCACAGCCCTGCATGGGGCGATCAGCGCTGCACACCTCAGCCTCAGCACGGGCAGCACCAGCAATAGCCCTGACAACACACACTTGCTCTGAACCGCAAACCACACAAACATGCAACACAGAATCGCTCTTGTGTCCCACCCTGGACCAAAACAGAGAAAAGCCCTTCGGTGCTGCCACACCCAGTAACACAGATGGCTGCCACAGATGTCACCTGGAGCCTAGAAGCCAGGCAAAAAAAAGAGTTGATATGGCAAGATGTCATTTTTGTGAAACTAAGGACCAGGCCACACTAACTGCTGGTGACAGAGGCCAGGATAGGAATGATGCCTGGTGGGAAACTGGCTAAGCAAGGGTTGGAGGGAATGAACAGCTAGGAGCTGGAAGTGGCCTGTCCTCATTTGCTTGAGATGGGCGGAGGTCATCCAGGTGTACACCTTTATAACAATGATGCTATAGGTGCATGGTTATGCATCATACTAGTACATGTGAATTATACAACAATTGGAAGGTTTTTAAAGCTCCAGTGTCAAGGAAAATAGTAAATGCACATTAATCACAATGGTAGGTTTGGTTTATTAAATGTTCTTAGCAATTAAGGTAGTTTTTGAGTGACATGTTGATCTGTTTTCAATTTTAAATATTGCAAGCATTTTTTCTCAATTTGCCATCTACATCTTTTGCCTATGCAACTTCTAAGTCTGATATAGACAAACTTTTCTCAGTGTGATATGTTTTTAAAACATTAGCAGTTTCTTCCTCAGATCACAAATGTTATTTTTTATAAACATGATTTTTCCTTTTCTACTTATGTCTCTAATTTTTCTGTAATTTATTATCTCATATACTGTAAGATGATGTAGGGACGATTCCTATCCAAATTTATTTGCATCAT